CACTGAAGGGAAACAAGCTTCCATTACATATGGACACTTAGTCACTGATAAAATTGAAATATTCCTTCAACTTTCCTTTTGTTTGAAAATATTTTTTAAACAATAGATTTTTGAATTCTATGAATGTTTTTTCTTTTTCTTTCCCATACTATTTTGTTTATAAATATATTTTATTAGATTTAAAATATTAATCAAATAACACAAGTTTATGAAGGTGATATTTGTACCCCGAACACCTATTAGCAAGGAAAAAATTTTCTATTTTTTTCTTACTCGTGCGCGATTCCGATTACGAAGATGTTGATAACGAGTCGAAATTTACAATAGCAAATTTAAACATCAGTCAAGCGTATTTTAATTTTCCATGTATTTTATCGACCGCGGAGAGATGCCCGCAAAGTGTGTTAATATTAAAAATTTTAAATAACCACTTTTAGTATGGCAAATATAAAAATTATATTTTAACTTTTAGAGTGGGTAAATATAAATATTATATAATTCATAATGATATCAGATTATCAGTAGTTTTATTACATTTATCTTAGAAATATCCAAATTTTTTATATTAATTTTGGTCTAGCATTTTATAAAATATTAGCCATTTGAGAATTGGGTCTTTCAAACCCTACATACAAGTGTTACGAAAGAATTTTTAAACATTGGAAATTTTTCTTTAAATTTCTATTTTATTTTAATTAAAAAATATTAGTTTTATATGAAATAACGGTTTTAAAATTCAATAAATTTTGTAGAAAATTTTGGCACAAATTATAATTATACCAAATTTTTTTATCGAAGTATAATAAATTAAAAAGAATAGAAATGGAAATGGAAATATACGCACTTAAAATTGGGGTTTATTAAAACCCACTGGTACATATACGTTATTTTTTTTGTCCGGAAGTATTAAATTAAGGGCGAAATTAAATATTAACATTTAAGAATTTTTAGAATTAAAACATTTATATTTAAAATTGTTTTCTTATGTATTTTATAAAATAGTAGGTTCCCTTGCTATATTTATATTTAGTATTTATAAATTATATTTGAATCAAATTGGTTACCTGAGAACATATTTTACGAAGTAAAATAAATATCAAACAAGATTTTTTTTTTTAGTTTTATATTTTATAAGAATCACTAAAGAAAATTTAACTAGCAGAAAAAAATTTACATTTATCATTTTATGAACTATTCTCATATAATAATGCGAATTTGTTCAATTAAAAATTTAATCTTATCCAAAAAGAATATTTTTATTTGAATTCTATCATAAAAATATAAATGAGACAAAAATCAAGTGAACAAGTTCTAAGAATAATTAATTGGATTTATAATATATAAATTGCTATACAATTATAAACATCGATATTCAAAACAAAACCAAAAATTTTTAAAAGGTTTTTATAAAATATTTTACACAATTAGTGTTACTAAATATAATTGAGATAAAAATAAATTTAACAAGTTAAAATACAATTATTTTATATAAAAATAACAACGTATTAAATGAATTATCTTTATATATAATAAAAATATTGCTTTTGAGTAAAGTCTTTGACCAATTGCTATAGACGTTAATTGAGAAATCACATGATTAACTTCGACCTGGTTGGTTTGATTATGTAGTCAATGACTACTTGAGCTAGTTGGTGGGAGGTGCAATTTGCTACTTTTTTAAGGGGGTAGACTAGAAGTAGGATAAATATATAGGGGTGTTACCTAATAACTTTTTAGATGAAATAGGGCAATATATTGCTCCTATTATAATATATATTACTAAACATCGACCAAATTCATATATTGCATACAATCATAGTCATTATATTTCAAATAAAACTTTATTCTGGATAATTTTATGCTATCATTTACAATCTAATTTAAAAGGGTTATAACTATCAGCAAACTCATTTTTATGAAACAATATACTAAGATAATTAGAGGCGGACAGGTTATAAAAAGAAGTGGGCATTTTGCCCACGAGACCGCGAGAAAATGTCGATTTTTGAGGCCGATTAGTAAAAAAATGAAAAAAAGAGGCCGATCAGAACAAAAATATATACATATATATTTTTTTTATAGTTATGACTTTTCTCTTATCATATTCATATATTTCATATATTAAAAGTTATTGTTAATTATTTCCCTTTAGCATTTAGAATATCATATAAATACATTTCCTGAGAATAATCATTTAGATGCCATTATATAGGGTTTTATTTTCTCAGAAAAAAACGTTTCCGTTTTAATGAACAAGTTTTGATTAATATATATTTTTTAAGGCCACAATTGAACGCTTAGTAATCTTGAAAATGAAATCTAGCCTCATAGAAATTTCCTTGAAATGGTTCAAATTATATAAAAAATTATAAAATACTTAAACACTATTTTGAAAAGACTATTTACAGGAGCAAACGTAGGAAAACAAGTTGAAACTTCCCGATAAATCACAATCCAATGGAAGAAATTTTCTAATAATTTTATCACAAAAACAACCGTTAAGTTATTAATGCTTTTCTAGGTAAAATATTAAAAAAGGGAGCTAGGTATCAAAAATTTAGTTTGCAAATATGTAGTACAAGAAGCTAAACAAGGTGATGGGCCAAAATGACCGTAGATAGTTATATGATGAAGAGAGCTTACTAAGGCAAAACAGAATTTGAAATTTTCTTAGATTGATCGGTTTGGAAAATGATTGAAGATGCCAAATCTTCTGTATCTTTTATAACCTCCACCTCCTATCAAATTAAGACATAAAAATGGCTACAAATTTAAATATAAATATTTCTGATTTAAAGTCCAGATAACAACTGGATTCAAAATGAAATATAAAAAACTAGAATAAGTCTAACAAGGAGGATGTATAGCGATCAATGCAAATATGAACGAAGATCCGACTAATCTCTATATTTTTTTAAGCAATTTCTTATAATGAATTACATTATAAATAGTTTAATCAAAAGATTTTCGGGGAATAAAGAGCTTATACAGAATGTGCAATATTTACATCCCAGGAATTTTGATGAAATAAATATCTAAGGTATTCTGAAAATCCTTGAAGAAAATTTATACACTAATAAATTTCCCAACATATTGGTAAATTGTTAAAGAACATCTAGTAAATTTAAAACTATAAAAATAGGCTAAGGGTAAATATGGGGTCAATTATTTGGAATTTTTATTAGGGCCCATTGAAAAAGAATATATAATATTCGTTTAATTGATTTATTTAAATTCTATTTGGAAAACTATATTTGCAATATGCTTGGTTTTATATGTATAATAAGTCTTATTTTCGGTGCAATATGATGTAATGAATGATTTAGATTTTATAGTGCAATCAATATGTAATAATTTTATATGTACAATTAATATTATTTTATATGTACAATTAATATTATTTTATATGTGTAATATATATTTTATTATATGCTCAATTACTATAAGGATGTCTTTATATGCAATTAATGATTTTATATATACAATTCTTAAAATAAAATATGTGATTATCATTTCATATAAATCTTTTTTTAAAATAAAAATGATAACTAATATTGTGTTTAACCCATCGTTTTAGATATGTTTTTGTCTAAAAATAAATTAAAAGAAATAGTAAAAACATGCGAATATGAATAAGCCATTAAAGGGATCCCGACTGAAGGCCGGGTATAAGCGGGCCGAAGACCCGCAGATTGGGGCATGGGGGAATCCCTCATAAAAATAAGGCTGCTAGAAAACATTTGCTCACGAGGCCGCAACATCGCTAGTCTGACCCTGATAATAAGGCATCCATTCTAAATTAGGGGTTTTTTAATTATTCATATTTGAAATAATAACTCTTTAAAATTAACCATTATGATAGTTAGTAGGGTATTGAGAATTTAAATTATTATTTTTAAAATATATGAAAGGATTACCATTATAATTTAAAACCCCTCTATCACTGGTATTGCAAACAAAAATTTATCACCTCCGGTTTGTATTTAAATATAATTTTTTTGCTAGTATTTAGCCTAACTCATAAATCATAAAATTTTATATTTATTTTAATAAGTCTTCTGTACAATCCTTTTTATTGTAATTCCCATCACTAGTAAATGATAAAATCAATAAATCCCTTTTAAAATGTAATTAAAAGTCGCGTGATCATGAATCGCTTTATCAAATTTTATATAACAAAGTATTGTTGTGATAAAGCGCCTCGTAAACGTATTAAAGTGAATCATATAAACGTCAATCTTTATTATGAAATAAATGGTATTCGATAAACAGTCTTTCCAATTGATGTGATAAATATCTCATCTATTGGGGTCTAATCTTATTTTGAAATTTAAATTCGGGTCAATTTTGAACCTCGACAAACTTAAAAATTTTTTTTTTTTCAAAAATATTTTCTTTTAAGAATAACACCAAAAACTTATATTTTTCATTAGCTTTTAATAATTTTCCCACTTTCCTTAAAATATCGTATAATTTCTCAAAAGTCCAAATTTAATTTAATTTGTTTTTACCGGATTGGATTCGAGATTATTTAAAATAAAATAAAAAAAATGTTGTGATTGAATCAGTCGGGTAATTTTTCCGATCTGAGATCTGAGGAAAAACTGTAGTATTCACTTATGTAGATAAATAAAGCGGCACATATTTTTATAATTTTCTCCTCTTTTACTTTGTTTATATCACAATATCTTTATCATTAGTGAACTACCATACGGAATAAAAAAAATCGAAAATACATTTGTTTACTATTAATCAAATTGTTAGAAAAAAAACTTAAATTTAATTTTATATTTATAAAATGACCATTAAATTTATGTACTCTTTTTTATATTATGGTTTAAAAAAATAATATATATATATATATAGTAATCTTTCTGCGCCTATAGCTTTTTGTAGATATAATGTTACATATAGACAACGATAAGTATAAATAATAATATATTTTCCTTATTATTTATTATTTTCAAATACGGAGGTTTAATGATTAAATAATATTAATCATGGTAGTCTGGAAAGATATACTAATTCTAATCCTGATTGGCATACTGGATCTTCAATCCAACGCTTCATTTTCCATCATTTCCTCATTCTTTCCAAAAGAGGTTATATTAGGAATTTTAAAAAAATATTTAATATTCCAAATTAAATTTTTTTTAAAAAGTAGTAAACCTTCAACCTTCTTATCTTTTATCTTTATAAGCTAGAAATAGTTGCCAGTACCATACTATTATATAACATAATGAACTTTCTAAAATATTTATTCATATATTTTCAGTTTTTATATATATATTTACGCTAAAATATAACGTGTTGCCAATGAGTCGTAATTATGTAAGGCCATGTCCTGACACCCACATTTTTTTAATGCTACGTTTAAAACTCTTTTAATGTTAAAAGATAGGCGTAACTTTTAACTATTAACATTCCAAGTTTTTAAAACGTACCGTTAAAGAATGAGACTAAGATAATCTAGGAGTTTATATTTTCACGGATTGTGTACGTCAAAAATCTTTTAACTTTCCTTATTTTTTTTAAACTCTTTTTCTTTTTTTAAAAATTGAATATTTTTAAAATCTTATATTTAAAAAAAAAAATTCAGGCATTTAAAAGAGGGGTCAATCATGTTTGGATCGGAGCGATTTTTTCAATGTTCCAGATGGTTAGATTTGTGTTTTTCATAATCTTGAGTCCAAAGGTATATAATAAATATTAACAGCATTTATTTTAACTAAGTAGAAGGAAAATATCCTAGTGAAATTTTCATTTAAATATTAATAAATCTATTAATTAGATATGATTTAGTATGAGATACGCACGGCACGGTTCGGACCTCCCCCCCCCCACCTCCCGTTAAAATAAGAATTTTTTGGCTTAGCCCGTTATAATTTTTTGCGGGGGAATACTGCATTATTTTAACTAAGTTTTAAAATATATTGCTAATTTATTTCTAGCCTTGAAAAAATATTTTGTATAAGTTGACTGACCCTAAAATTTTATCATTTCTTTTATATATTTTTTACTCAAAAGTAAATTTTATTCAATATTATGATTTATTGTTTTAAATAGGTTCCTCTCTTTCCCAAACTAGTGTTGTTAAAAACCTAGATATATTTTAAAAGCGGTAAATTTTATCCAAACAAATATTATAGAAACCTGGAGATTTGACTAGAAGTTGGCCATATCTTTCCGCCATAGTCGAAATCTTGAGTGTTGGGTAATATTTGCCTAAAATCCTGATTTCTAGCCAATTTTTTTTAAAAATATAAGGAAGTGAATTGAATGCAAGTTGAAAATTGCTTTAATCTCTTTTTTATTCTATTAAAAAGTTATTAAATGATTTGAATTTCTTCTTTTTCATAATCTAACATAAGAATATAATTATATCATAGGTTCCATTAGAACACTCCTTTTAGAATATAGAACTCTCGCCTTTTAAATTTCGGACAATTTTGCCAAATTGCGTATATGAATAAAATGCAATACCATAATCAATATAAATTAGAGTTGTTAACGCTCCTTTTTAAAAGTAGCTAGCTCCCGCTCCTACCTTCTCAAAAGGAGCTAGCTCCCGCTCCAAGTAATGGAGTGCCATTCCATAACCGCTCCTTTGATTTTCATTTTTTCAGAAAGGACACGAAACAAAATCATATTTTTTTATCAAAAAGTTTTTTTATATTAAATGATCTATCAAAATATTTATATCTTTTATTAGCATTTAAAAGTAATAAATTTTCTAAATTAGAATCCAACAAACATCCACTCTCCCCTAAGTCCCGTTTTGCAATACTAAAAGGAGCACTAGAGGGAAGCGGGGTATTGTATTTTATAAAGATATTTTTTAATTCAGGTATAAAAAAGGAGGTTGAACAAGTAATGAGAAAATGAAAATAAATATTAAAATATATTTAAACAAGCATCATATCCAACAACCCAAGCTCAACTATAATGAATTGACCAAAAATAATTATAACTATTTTAAAAAAAATTATTCCAAATTAAAAAAAATATAGTCATCATTTCGTAAGAAATATTTTTTTACTTTTAGATGCTTTTTTAGATTGGAATTGCTCACTTTTGAAAATAAAATACTTTTAATGAAACACAAAAGGCATTTTGCCCTTAAATTTGTTTGATAATTTGGATCAATCCTTTAGATGGAAATGGAAATTCGATTTCTTCTTCTATGATCTCTAAATCCATAATATCGAAAACTGTTTTTTATTATATATCTATTAAATATTAATATGACTTACAAAATTTTCCACAAAATTTTCAATATAAAAATGAAAAACTTGATGTTTAATATTTAAATGATTAGAAGAAAAACCAATATAAAACTCGGCTCAACATTTAATAATGAATAAATTTAAATAAAATAAAATTTCATTTTTATCGAATTTATTAACAAATATTATTAATATTTAAAAAATAATTTAATTTATACCTTAAATTTAAAGGAGCAGTGGAGCGGCGCTCATCCACTCCAGCCCTAAAAGGAACTAGCTCCCACTCCCGCTTCTCATTTTTAAAAAGGAGAGGCGCTCCAGATGTCTTAAAAATGTAGCTCCTTAAAAACTCTGATATAAATGAAGAGTCGTTCAAAAGTTTACAGGCAAAGTTGTCTGAAATTTGTAGTGTAGATACTTCTATAACATACCGGAATATATTTCCAGTCATATCAAATTTTTAAATTTCAAAATCGTTCACAGTAAATGACTTAAAAATTGAGAAATTCAGAATAACCAAAGATTTCATATCTCATTATTCGCACATATACAAAAATTCAATATGTAAAAGGGATCTTTTTATGTATATAATGAAACAAGGGGTGACGTAGCTTATATATCAAATTACTACTGAGGAGTGATACACCTCCATAAGATACGCCCCAATATCATTTTGATGCACTTCCCTCCTTGTTCACCAAAGTTATTGGGGTTGGAAACAGGACACAGAAGCACATGCTGAGAATTAATTTTATAATGATAATCAAGACTAATATTCGTTGAAAAATAGCTTTGTCTAAATTTCTTTTTTTAAAAAAAGCTTTGTCTAAACTTCTTTTTTTAAAAAAAGCTTTCAAAGATAGGTTATCGAGTAGCATTTCTTGGTGGAGTTTTGATAGTGGCCACTTCAACTCTAGCATTTTCTATGGTCAGCGAAATAAAGATGGTTAGTTATAAATGTGAAAATATAAAATAAATTGATTTATTTTGATTTACGAAATCATTACTATAAAAGATTAATTTTATAGGTTAACATATAATAAAAAAATTGAGATCAAATTATTCCAATGAGTAGTAAGAAATTTGAAATATATTTATATAAACTAATTTATCAAGACCGAAAAACCTTGGATCTTCATTATGTGCTGCATGATAGCTAGAGGTTTCCAAGGCCTAGGTTGCTGTTTATATTTACTCGCGGCTTTCGTGTACGTCTCACAGCTGTTTAATGACAACATTGGATTAGCTTTCGTATTTTCTTTATATTTACATAGCAGATGAGGAGGCGGCACCGGGCATTTAGGGCCGTCAAATTTTGTTTCATATGAATTTGAAAAATAGTAATTTAAAAAATTAATTAAAATGGGTAGTATTATATTATAAAAAAATGTATATTTTGAGCACTATTTATATGGTGAGCACCAAAAATTAAATTAACATATTTTATAAAATGAATGAACAAATCATTAAAAGCATTAAACTTTCGGCATTACTCACAAAAGACCATGCCCTTAGTGTTGTTAAACGGCTCATTTTGAGCCGATTTTTTAAAACGGCTAACTCAATATTTTAGCCAGAAAAATATTATCTAAGCCTCGAGATTTCGTTAATATATGTCTAGACCTTTGTTCCTTCTATGAGCAAAATCTTCAGGTTGCGTAATATTTTTCTAAATGAAATATTGAGTTAGCCGTTTTTAAAAATCGGCTCAAAACGAGCCGTTTAACAACACTACATGCCCTGATTCATCATATTTTTGACCAGTCTATTTAGATTTTGAACTAACACCTTATTCTTTTTGTTTTTATAATAATCTAAATAGCCAATCTCTTTTTATTCTGTGTAGAAATTCTTATTTTTCAAAAGGCTAAAAATAATTGAATAAAATAGCAAAATTTGGCGGCCCCAATGTCTACGCTCGCCCACCTGTCTGTATGACCCTAAGTTTAAATTAATATTTAAAAAAATCTGAATATTTATAAAATATCATCTTCATAAGTTTTAGTTAATTTTGCAGGTACGTTAGATTATATTCATAGAGCTATATAAATAAATTTATCGTTTTTTAAAGCACCTTTATCGTTTTCACTTTAGCATCTTAAATCTATTTTTATTTTATTTAGGGTTTTATTGAAACGTGTGAAGGTTTAGGAGCTATGGGAGGCCATGGTCTAGGAGGATGGCTGTTCATGGTAAATATTTATAACTCAATAAATCAATCTTCATAACAATACAAATACAATATAATAAATATTTAATTTGAGCACTAATTATTAAGACTATCAATTTAATTTTATTTTGGTAAACAATAATACACTCATATAATATTATTTTAATAAAATCAAAGTTTGATATTACTTTTTTTAAAAAGAGTTGGGTATGTCGACTTTTTGATAAATGAACGACTCGATCATTTCTTTTTTTTTAATTTAAAAAATTATCGGAGATTGACAACTCCAATATATAAAAAATAACGGATCATAAAAATTATGAGGAAAAAGTAGGATCCCCTTTTATATTGTTATTACAAATTGGATACATAAACTTTATCAAAAATTAGTCTCTAAAAAGGGTATCGGTAATCGGTATACTTATAACTCTATCAAATGGTGCTCATATTAGATAGAGAAATTATATATTTTATTTATAATATTTGTCAGGGCATAACTAACTTTTTCAACTTCATTGGGCTTATTTTTTGAAAATTTTTAAAATTGCGAAAAGGTACTTATATTCTAAAATGAGGGGGATATTTTACTTAAAATTAGTTAAAAAAATATTTGTGAATACTTTTTAAAGTTTCTAGGAGGCTTGTGCCCATATGTGCACCTATTTGTACTGTGTATGTTACAGTCAAATCACATAATCCGACAATTCGCATATACACTTATACAAATCTTTATTAATTTGCGTATTATAAATATATTAATTAAAAATGTTTCGAAAGTCCATGATCAAAATATCTGAAAATATATAGGATAGTATTTTATAATATATTTTTAACAAATTCATTTCACTTTAAATTAATTACTGAGCTATTTTATCAACTTTAAATCAGTCAGCATTTTTCAAATTTAAATAATCTATTTTTCTTGGAAATGTATTATAGCTTGTGTGGAATACACGGATCTATAAATTTCAGACTTTATAAGATAAAATAAGGAAATACGAAGATGACTGGCATATAGATATGTTATATATATATATACATGAATATAGTGATGCGAAATCGTTCCATTTGAGCCGATTTCTAACTAACTCAATATTTAATCCAAAAAAATATTACGCAAGCCTGAAGATTTTACTCATAAATGTCCTAAAGGTTTGGACATATATGTCCAAAGAAATCTCTAGGCTTAGGTATTATATTTCTGGCTATAATATTGAGTTCGCCGTTTTTAAATATCGGCTCGAATGGAGCGATTTTGCATCATCACCTACATATACTATTTTAAATAAAATAATGATATTGAACATTAGTATGGAGGGTTCAAGTTTCCTTTCATAGTTCTCGGAATGATCATTTTGGGGACAACTATCATCGTCAATTTTGTTATACCAGAAATTAGAATTGGTTATTTATATTATATATATTTTTATTTAAAATTTAGTTTAAGTTGTTAATATTAAGTAGCTTTACAGTTTTATTATTAGCGGCGACTAAAGGATATATAGACTAATGCATTAATAATAATAAAAATCAAATCGGCTAAAAAGTAATTACATCTAATTCAAATGGCCGGCCTACTCTTGAGCTGAAAAATACTAAATATTGTATATTGGTCTTCGTTTCAATATATAAACCCAATAATACCAATTGCTGACCAAAGATGTAATGGAATTAGTTCCACCCATAGTCAACTAAATATTGATAGAAAATGAAATATATAATATACAATCTAGTGTTAGATATAGATATTTAATAAACCCCCAACCAAAAGTATGGAATTATCTGTGATATTATTAATCACTCAATTTCACATAAATCTAACTATAATTACATTACACGTTAATAAAAAGAAAGATTTAGCATAATATGGTATTATTTAATTTAATTTCATCAATTATTTTTTGACAAATCTTTAGAAGCAGAAATCAATGAAAGACGAGAAAATGGAAATATGTTGTCTCAATTCGCTGCATTGTTGAAAGATGGACGAGTGTTTTGCGTTAATATCTTGGTTTTAGGCGGGTCTTTTAGCATTTCGTATATGGTAGCGTTCGTGGCTGTTTACCTTGAAAGGGTTAACATAAATAATTAGTAAATCTAGAAACTGTTTATCTTTAAATTAGACATGGTAGAAAGTATTTGAATTATTTTTATCTTTAAAATATATTATTTTTAAAATTGAAGTATAGTTTATTTTTTATTATTTTAAAAAATTATATTAATTTACCATAAAATATTTTCAATTTTTTAAAATATTTATCACAATTTTGATTAGCTTTCTCTAAAAACATCTCGGATCGGTCTGCTATTCATGTCCCTATCGCTCAGTTTTACCGTTTTCACTGTAGTAATCGGACGTCTAACCAAATATTTAGTTTTTTCATTCATTTCACATTTGTTTCATTTTTATTTTATTTTTTTTCAGGAGTTTGAAAACAAAAAAAAAGATTTCATGGCATTTTTAAGGTAAAATTTGATCAATTTTTTTTCCTTCTTTAAAAAAAAATTTTCAAAGATTTCTTGTAGATTTTTGTTTCAAACTCATCTCAATTTTTAGTCATTATCACACAATTAGCATTGAAAAAAAATTGACAGTATGTTTTTTTAAAAAAAAAGTAGTTACATGTATTAGGGAAAATAATAATTTATGATTAAAAATAGTTATATATTGTTATAGCTATGTATGATGTTATAGGAAAAAATATAAAGAATAAATAGTGGGGAAGTTAGAAATTAATGTAACTAAGAATATTGTGCAGCGAATTTTACTACGTCAATGTGTTATAATCCAATTTTTTTTATCATGTATTTATTTTTTAAATTTAAAAAAAATTTGATTTTATCAGAAATGTATTCCAGAATATCTATCCCTATGAAATTCAGACAAATTAGCTCTAACCATAGAAATATTTATAATTTGTATAAAAAATAATCTTATGGAAAAACTAATATAAATTATATTAAGTTACAAATTTTACAAAATTTCTAAAAATTAATTACATATGTTTTCTAAACATGCTGGAATATTCCAACAAATTATATTTTAAATTTTATAAAATTTCCTCAAAAAATTATTAAAAGTTGAAAATAGCACATTGACTTAAAAAAAACTCGGGTGGTATCTTGAAATATGGACATTTTATGTAGTCGTTATTTTTAAAGTTTATAATATTAATCCGGTCTTCCTTTTTCACATTATATGATTAAAGCTGGGAGATTATTTATTTCGAAGATTCTTTGGTATAAGTAATAATATATTTACATCTGCTTCCATACCATTTTAATTATATCTGTTTTGAAAATTTTAGAACAAATGGGGTCGAATGATAATTATGATTATATCTACTACTCTGATGGCGGTGATATATATGTTATTAGCCCCGAGGTTGATCTTTAAATACGAAATGTAAGCAATCGTTGAAAAATTTGACATAAATTTCTAAAGCGCAACGAACATTTGGTTCAAAAATAACGGAAATGGAACCAAACTGTTTTAAAATTTTAAACTAAGAAACGGAATGGAACTGAACTCTTATACATAACGGTTCAAACACTGCTTAACCTTCTACCCATATATTAGATTTTCCTAATTTGCAGTTATTTTTCATCTTTAATATTTGAATTTAAGAATAGACTATTATTATTCTATACTCAATTTATAGTTGTTATTATAAATAAAGCCTGCAAATTCAATTTCTTCAAGTCTGAGCTATTTTTATTAATTTTTAAAGCCTTGTCCGATTTATATTTCTTTTTTAACACCAGAACCCAACCCGGCACCCTGTCTGATTTTTTAAATATATCTTAGGCACAATCTTGACCCCCGCTAAGATTTTATAAAATTATTTTTTTTTTATTTATCATTTTATTTTAATAAATGAAACAAAAACACCCGACCGAGCCCGCGGAACGGGCTTTCGTTCGGACCGACTCAATTGTAAGACTTCTAAATAAATGGATATGACTTGTTTCAGTATAAAATATTTAATCTCTATGCAATTTATCTGACTTTTTCTAATTCTTTTTTACAATTATGTAAATTTTTTAAGTCCTCAACTAGCTTACTCTATACTGTTTATGTTTCTGGGATTGGCGTACGCCTCTCAACTTATTCCTGCCATTGCTGATCTTTTCGAATACTCACGGTAATTTTAAATTATTTCAAAATAGTTAGAACTTCTTTATTTAAAGCTAAATATCCCGATCTTCAATAGTTTAGTGGCCCCTACAACGGGGGGGGGGAGGGGATCCGAAGCAACTGCTTCTAAAAATTTGAGTGGGGGTACTTTTTAAAAAAAATTTAATTCTTTTATTTTTTTTGCTACATCCTTCCATAACCAATTGATTTCTGGTTTATGTATGTAATAAAAGGACACCCCCCCCCTCCTAATTATTTAATTTAATATGTATTGACGGAAAATTTGGTCGATGTTTAGTAAATTAGGTTATTATCCGAGATTTCTTGTCATAAATTATTTTTCCAATTTCAATGCCCAAAAATGTTGACCAAAAAAAAAATTCAAATGCTTAATGAAAAATTGCACATCGCATAATATAAGAGATGATAAATGGACAGACCACATTAGAAAAAGACATGGTGGGCTTAATTTTAATGATATAAAGAAAAGCTTTGAAATAGTAGCTTTTAAGAATATTCTCAAAATTGGACAAATAGCAATAGTAATTTTTTTATTAAATATTTAATTGTTTATACTTATCTTATAAGGGGTGATAAATCACAATTTAAGGAAAAAGAAGTAAAAAGTGGGAATTCAATGCTGTTAGTATAATAAATATTTTTATTAATATAATTATTTTTTAAAAGTGTACTAATAATAACGAAAATGTGAAGAAAATATAGTATCTGACTCTGATAATGATCATAAAATTTATTCGTGATATTATTGTGCATGAATCTTCACAGGCACATATGATGGCCGATTATGGAAGGCTTTAACATAATAAAAATTCCATATTACAATTTATAATACCCCTAAGAGAATGTGTGGATATTAACCGTTCTATCTTAAGAATAATAATAAGATGTCTGAGTTATTTAATATCTAGTAACCAAGTCTTTTGGAGAACAGGCAACAAGAAGGCAATATGATGGGTTATTAAACTCATTGCAGATTCTGAACTTGTACTCAAAATGTATATACAACAAAATGAAGAAGGGAGAAAAAAAAATAAAGGATTAAAAACGAAATTATATTCAAATCTATTATCATATAATAACATAAATATTCTCATTGAAATGATGAAAATATATGGTTATAAAAAAAATTCAAAATGAGATTGAATTTAACAGGTGCTTTTCAATCATAGTTGATGGCACATATGATGTTTCGAAATCAGAAATAACTTTGATAGTAAGATATGTTGAAAATAGCAAGAAGCCTAAGCCCATTGAAAGACTGATAGACATATATTGACTGGAAACACAACTGGTCTCGATATTGAAAAGAATATAATATCCAAACTTGATTCCATGAATTTACCTCTTGAATTTCCTAGTTGGGCAAAGAGTCTCAAACATAGTGGAAGAATCAATGTAGTGCAGGCTTTGATTAGAGCGGAGTCGCCAAAGGCAACTTTTGATGCTATTGTCATCGATTAAATTTAATTATTGTTCAATTATGTAAATAAAAGAACTGCGAAATGTTTTAGGAATATTAGACAAGATTTATATATATTTTAATGGTGTTGAAATGAGGTTCTCAGAGGGCAGCTTTAACAAATTTAAAGGATCCTGAAGATCCTAAAAATTTAATTTAATTTTATTACTTTGTGTTTTGGATAAAATATTGTTGATAACAAGTTTGGCTTGTACAAAATTTCCAACATTTCGAAGGATGTAGGGTTTGCAATAAATTAAATTCAATTGGCAAAAGATCTGATTAATTTGAGAAGTATAATTTAAATTATTGTCTTTAATTATTTTTTAATCCTAATAGATAACAATAATTTTTGAATGTTTTTTCAAAGGCACAAGATTTTATGAAGGAGAGAAATCTAATTTCATCATTGGGAAAAAATTTATTTAAACAATTAAATATTGATGGAATTACAAATCCTTCTGTTTTCTCTTCCCCCAATTTATCTAAATTATTAATTTAAAAATAATATTTTTTTACATTTTATTTACATTATATATTAAAGATTGATGCAATATAAATTATTTTTAAAATTTATGGGTGTCAAAAAATAATTAAACATTTTTTCGATAGGGGGGGGGTTACTTTTCAGGTGGGTATTCTGCTTCGATCCTTCAGAAAATGTAGGGGCTACTGAATCGAAAAGTTTAAATTAGCAAACTTCCCACTTAAATAAAACAAAGGAGGGATTGTTATATATATTTATTTTATGTTTTAGTTTTATTTTATTGATATTTATTTTAGTTTTAACATTTTAACGTCTTAGGGCAATCAAAAATATCATTGACACAATTTATATTTAGTTTCTGTTTTGCGTAACTTAAAATGATTGATCATTTGCTTATTGATTTATTAAAACATATTTAAATAGTCGACAAAAAGATATATATAAAGTCAGTACTGCACCAATTTTCTATTTATATAACATTTTTATTAACCAGTCTTATTAAATTAATGAAAAACAGAAAAAGTTGCCTTTTTTTAAAGAAAAATATACAAATTGAATATATAACTTTAAATAAAATTAAATACGATAAGACTCACTACTTAAGGAAATAAACGATTATAGCTGAATTAGATGATTTAACCGAAGAAGTATAATTTAATAGAATATTCAAAAAAAATAATATTTAAGTTCTTTAGATAACGATGATGAAAGCTCTAATTTACAAAGAAAAGGCGTGATCTCTGGTCTATACAATTCCACTCTATCTTTAGGGTATTTACTTATTAGTTATTTAGAGGGAATATATTTATTTTTTATATACACTCTCATTAGACTTAAAATATAAATAGACTCATCATTAAGGCAGATATATTTGAACGAAAAAAAGCCATTACAGTTTTTCCTATTTGTGCTTATTAGGACTTCACAAGAGGGCCTCAAAAATTTATCAAAAAATGGTATTTAAATAATCCGCGATTTTTATATTGCAATATGCAAAAATAGAGCTAACTATCATGACTTTTTATTAAATTTATGCCTTAATCAGTCTATTTATATTATGAATCTATATAGATATTTTTTAAAGTATTTTATTGAAAGAATTAAGTTTACTATATACAATATAGAATTATAGGAAAAAATACGCTAAAATTACAAAAAGGTTTTCAGCCGAGTTCACTATAATAATTTAAAATCATTTAAAAAGCTTAAATTTGCATATTAAAAAAATATTAATTAAAAAGAGCTTTGATGGGTCCTCTGTGTGGCGGACTTTTTATTCAAGCCATGGGAATATCCAAGGCATCCGTGGCGATCTCATTTTGCAATATTTCCCTGGTAAATGCGAATATTTTTTATTTAAGAAAGGATTTATTTAGTTAAATATTTTTATATGATTCCGTTTTTTTTCCATTATATATTTGATTTTATAATTATTGATGGATAAGGATTTGTTAAAAAATTGTCAATATCAGTTACGATCTTATATTAAAAGAATGTCCTTCATACACTGTTTATTTACACATGATTATACGCATCACTCTATGATGTTGAAGTTTTAACAGAGCTACGCTAGGTATTTTTCATTTCCACCTTATTGGACAACTTTAAAATGGGGAAATTTATAATATAAGGAGCCCTCTACACGTTTGTGAGTAGGCCTCACGTACTTGTATGCATTATAGTCATAAGACTATTATTTTTACGTTTGTGGGCTGATTAAATAGAAAATTGTGCAAAGAACACAGCCCACACTTATAAATTGCATATATTTAATTATTTTTTGTGGCAAGGGAATGGTTGATTTTAATTTTTCTAGGAATTAACTCAGAATTAGGAATATCAGAACTATCTTTATTAAATAAAGCAACGGTAAAATTCTAATAACATAATTGTGAAAGTAAAAATTATAACTCTATGGTGTAAAATAATATCAATTTAGTATCCTTAATTATTTAACAGGATGAAAGTTAATACATAAATTTTCCATTATATTAACTTTTATATTTAACCATAATTTAAATATTTATAGCCGGAAAGCAATATAAAAACAGATAATATAAAATTATTAATAAAAGACCATTAAAATATTAAGTATTATTACAATTTTAAATTACTATATGTCTACATGTTAAATAAGTAAATTCTGTTGGAAATATTGAACAAATAAATTTATACCATGTTGATATTAATGGTAAATGATTAAATTGAATGTAGATGGTATCTTAAAAACATGTAATTAATAACCTTTTGTCGATCGCATCTTCTACATTTAATGCTATATTTAAAAAATTATATATCAAATTTTTACTAGTTTTAACTAAATTTAAATTAAAAAGTGCCGAATACTTTTTAATTAAAAAGTGCCCAATATTTACTATATTACAAAAAAAAATACCATATTTGTGAGCTCTTAATGATTAAATAATTTAATACGATATGAATAATATTTTTTTAAAAAAATATAGATTGAATCTATTCCATTTTCTCAATATTAGCTTAAAAATTGATTTTGCTTTATAAAAGATTCAACAATAAGGCTTAAAATTATGAATTTTAATATATATATCACTCTACTAATACCCCCCCCCCCTTACCCAATATTATGAATTTTGAGCTTTCACACTTTTTAAGGATATTCAAAAAATTTTCATTTTTTATTATGTATAATTTTTTCATAAAAAATTGTATAGATAAGTTGCAGGGGTTGAAACTTGAGGAGGGGCGTGGTATAAATTTTCCTCTTCCCATTTAATATCTATCATTGATCCCCTTAATTATAAAATAGTATTTTTTTCAAACCTTTCTATGCCATTTTACAGTATAAAGTATTTATATATTTTTGCAATATATTTAGAAGATATTCCTACACTTTATTTAAGATTGGTTAAATAAATTTTCTTCTGATACTATAAATTTAGGATAAAAAAAAGTTTCACCCCTCCCATTGATTTGGGTGTAGTTTACTACACTTGTGTGTTGTAAATGTGATACATTATTCTCAATATTTTCACAAAGTTTAATTCTCATTTCTATTTTTAATTGTTTAAATAGAGATACAATAGTTGCTAAATCGCCAAGATAATTTAGTAGAATAAAATTTTAAATTATTATTAAGAATTAAGTTTCAAAGCAAGCCTATCATCAACACTTAATTCATTTTGACAATATCTAAATTATATAAATTTAAAAAAAAATTACATTCATTTTATTGTTATAAAGGTATTCATAGGTTTAGGGTTAATTTCAAAGAAAAGTGCAATTGAAACTCGTCAAAATAATCCTTTAAACGGCGACACTACTCCAATCACAGAACATCAGGATGAACAATTATTATGGACTTAAAATAAATTTATTTAATATATCTTATCTATTATTTGTGAATGAAATAGATCCATTGTTTTTTTATTAACAATTATATAAATGAAAAATCTGATATTTAAAATATTAGAGTTTACTTTAGGAATTACAAATTCTAATCGTATTAATTCATATAAGGAATAAATATATTTTGTGCCATGACTAGAATTGTTTATAATAAGATACATTTATTTATTATATGAAGGTTTACAGAGAAGAAAAATTATTATTAATAAAATCCCTGAACCCTCCTTCCTAAAAAATGAGTTCAGGTTTGGATTCTGGTACAATTAAATATCAATAAACCAGGATAGGATTCAGGTGTATTCAGGGTTCGAAGTCCAGAATAAAACTTATAAAATTGAATAAAAATAGCAGAAACATCAGTTTTTATAAACTTTATTTTACTATATTTTGACCTTAACCATAATAATAATTTATTATTATAATTGTAATATAAGCAAATTATCATTATATCTTCCAAAGAGATGTTAAAATTAAAATATCAATTTTTTATGCCTTAATTTGACAGAATTGCAACTTGCAATTAAAGCTTACCTTGTGATTGTGCCCTTTTCTTTGGTCTTACTTTTAATTTAATAATTCAACAAACAAAAATAAATATTCATAAAATTTATATTATTATCTATTATTAAGAAAAAGTTACAAAATATGCTGGTAAAATTTTAAAATTTTTATATAGAATGGAGTGCCTAAAATATAATAAAAAAACGCAAAATAATTTTCACCAAAGAGATGTTTTTTTTATATTTAACTTTAATATAGTTTTCTATATGTTATTTTTAATATGTTTTTTAAATAAATAAAAAAATATGTTATGTTAATAATTTGCATGTTTTTTTTTATATTTAACTTTAATATAGTTTTCTATATGTTATTTTTAATATGTTTTTTAAATAAATAAAAATTTAATATTACATTCTAGAACCCTGAACCCTAAATTTTAAAAAAGGGTTAGGGTTTGGATTTAGTAAAACATTGAGGGTCCGAAGGGTTATGGTTCCCAGCCCTGATTTAAGCATTATTACAATATTTTAAAACAATTAAACTAAAGATAAAATTGCTAGAAATTTTATATAAATCACGCCCAAGTTTTAATTTTGCAATAATTCGATAATGGATGGAGGAAAATAAATGTTTCAAACTCTTTTTTATACACATACTTTAATGTCCAATTGTAAAAAAATGAAAGATATAACTTTTCAATTTTAAAAATAATGTTGCATGAAAGTTGAGGCAGGGATCCGAAACGAATATTGGTTTGGTTCATATAAAAATAATGATTCGAAGGTTAGGTTTTGTTAATAATATGTTCGAACCTCTAAAAACCTACTTGAACTATCTTGTATATAAACTTACATTCGAATTATTTATAAAGAAGCACATTTTTTTTATTTGATCAATATAGAAAAGGAAGCTAAAAAGGTTTTAAAATAGCAATATAGAAAAATTTATAAAAACTGACTGAAACTTAGTCAAAATTGATTGATAATAGTAATTCTTATATAAATTATAATTTTAGCAATATATTAATAATAGGTCATATTTTATACACAAAATTATGAGGCTTAAACCTTTTCACAAACATTTTTATCGGTTCAAGTTCCGATAGGCAATTATTTAATGGTTTAGGTTCGGTTCGGATTTGATAAAGTTAATACAGATTTCGAGGTTTGGTTTAGATTCCAGAATTCATTTTTTTATTTAGGCAGATTTATAATTAATATTTAATATAGTTATCATAAATTCAATATTATCTACAATAAGTTAAATAGAGAAATATTAAACATAAATATAAACAAATACAAAATTGCAAATTAATATACATAACTATCAATTCTACGAAATCAAGTCAAAGTGATATTATTTCAATTATAACCATGTTAATGTGATATCGAGTGGATTAATATTGTTTTTTTGTAGAAAAATGTAATATAACAAATAAAATAAAAGTTATAAATTAAGAAGTTGTTATTATCTTTTATTCTTATCCATAAATTATAAGTAATATATAAGACTTCGAGAAGAAATTGACAGGAAACATAACTTTATAAATGAATAATCACAGGCATAGCTAGCACTGAATTCAGGCAAATTAGTATTTTAGTGACAATCAAAAATAGTGCTAATATCAAGTAAATTCAATTTTTTTATTTTCGGGCTAAGTTATGGCGATTAGGGTTATAATAAATTATATGTATCCTATCATCTCTCGAGGAAACCTGCCTATGCTATATAGGTTACATTTATCAGGTTTCTGGACCAGCTCGGGGTTCAAAATATGTAATTGTTTCTTTGACATTTTGTGAACATGGACCTAACAGGGATCGATTTTTTGGGGGCCACTACACGGGATATCTTGTAACCAGGGTGGGTTCATGCTCTGGAAAATATATCAAGATTATATTTGTTGGGAAAATTCCTAAATAGAGAATTACAGATTTTTGAACCTAAATAGGGAGTTCACCCGTATGTTTATAATCTTGGGTAAAATATCCTTATCTTCTTTTCTGCAATTATAGTAATAAATATTCTTTGAAATTTTTTTTTCTATTATAATACTCTATAAATCATCATTCCAACATTCTTCCAAAAATTTATTTTATTCTTTATCTCATAATTATTCTTGCCAAATCAATCCTTAAATATCAATAAGGGTATAAATTGTTCATATAAATGCAAAATAAAATATATAAATCTTTTAATTTTATAAGAAAATAGAGGATTCTAAAGAATTAATAAAATGCATCTATCTAAGGCTCACATAATATTATCTTGGTGAAAATCTTAATTAGCTTTTTAAAATCGACCCAAAGAGCTTTTTAAAATTTACACAGTAAACTCCGTGTCATTCATTGAAATAAGCAAGAATAAAGGTATTAGAACAATCTATGTTTCAACTTTAATCGAATAAAAATCTATGAGGAATTATTACGAGAGAGCTTCGAGAACCATCATTCTTATACAAATGAGGATATACAGAAAAAATATTAACAAATGTAGAAATAGTATTCGAGACTTGTTAACGTCAATCAACTCTTTTCATGGCAAACGGTGACATAACTGAATTTTAAAACTTACAAGACTCATAATTTCCTAAAGGCTCATTAAAAAAACTGTCATTCATTTGTTTTTTTTATTTCAAAAATTAATGTGTTATATATTTTTTTTAAATTGTTAATTAAAAATTTCTATAAAACACTATAAAAAAATACAAATTCATAAATGTATTCCCAAAAAGAAACCATAATTATATTTAAAATTTTTTCGTTTACAAAATTCTGGATTTTGAAACCTATAGATTAATGGTGAAAAATGGCCTTTTGTGGAAGTCATTATTGGAATAAATGGGAAGTTGTTAAAATTGTATTTATTGAACCTTTTTGCTTCCGCTTGTGTTAGCGGATTGATGTTTGCGTGGAAGGAAGAGACGCAAGTGTAGTCCCAGATTAGTAATTTTCTGATAGCCAAGGTATAGTTTTCATATCATCCAGTCTTAACCCATCTAATTGAGATAATGATAAATTCAAGATGGTTGTTGTTTGTTGAACAGAGTGATATATTATTTTTCTTTTATGGTATTTTTTTTTGAAAACCCGTAATAATTTTTTATGAAGGAGAAGAGTCGTAAATTTGCCTAATTGTAAGCTTTAAAGGAATTTTGCAAATTTCCGGCCCATAAAATATTTTGCACAAGTAGTCCAGCCCTGTTTGGCCCAATTTTTGTTTTGTACCTGGTCCGCGGGCCGAGCCGCGTTAAAATCCAATTGACAACTTTTATTCTCTAGTTTGTTTGTTAATGGATACGTTGTAAACTATCACTTTGACTTAATTTAAATATTTAGGTAAAACAATTTATTTAATTAACTTAAATTATATAGTATATGCGAATTTCTCAAGTTTTCTTATTTGTGACCTTGAATATGTATATAAATATTTTTATATAGAAGAGTAGGGCCATAACTAATATTTTTGGCTAAGAACACTAGGGTGAGGAACGCACTTTCAAAAAAAAAATGTATATTTATTATGTTCTTTCTGTTATCCTTTTCTTATTCAAAAATAATATACAAGTTTCATTATTTTAAGGGAATTCATATTGTATTATATGTAATATAACATAGTAAAATAATAAATGACTGAAATGGGTTTTATAAAGCATAAATGTTATATATATACTTTTTTTTAAAAATTATAATTTTCTTTAAATCGCGAAAAAAAAAATTCCTAAAGTTATTGTTTGTGGGCAAAATATATTTTTGAGCCCTGATCCGCAACCCTCCCCCCCCCCACTCTCTTCGTGTTTGTTAGGGTCCTGAAAAGAGAGAAATATTATTTTGCAATACAAAGATATAATTTTAAATCAAAATCTATTATTAGAATAAATAAACAATACTTTCATGGGAATAATGACTTCTATCAATGCTTTATGAAATCCTTATATTTATATAATATTTAATTATAAAATTATATTTTTCTATGACACAGCTATTACAGGATAATTATAAATATTTGCATTCACTAATTATTCTAATCTTTTCTCAGGGAAGCTTAATTTTGAAATTAAACTATCACACCTTTAACACAAATTTTGAAAATAGTACATTGTTAAAGTCAAATTAAAAACTATTAAGCTCAAATTTTTATGAAAAAAAATATTATATTATGATATTTTTTTTTAAATGCAAATTAAAAATGATGGTTTATAGAAATTTTTTATAAAGTAACTTGCAATTTTACTCGTTATTCTTGAAATTTAACTTTAAATAGTTACTTTAGGAATAATGTAATTAGTTATCGGTTTAAGGATACAAATATTAATAGTAACTAGTTACTTTTCACAACACTACGTAGTCTCCTATAGTAATTTAATTATTTAAAACTAATCATTTATTTATTTTTTACAAAGTAAAGACTTTTAACATATTTTAAATATAAGCATTTTCAATATAAATGTTAAAATT